TTACAACATTACATCTTTTTGTTAATAACAAATCCCTTTGACTTTAAAAAAAAAAAAAAAAACCGACGACTTTTGTACTTAATGGTTAAGTAAGTTTCTATTTTCATATGTCAGCATTTTAGAGGATAGACATATCGTCATAACGATTAAGGAAGGGTAAATCGGTGAAAGGCAATTTGGATATTTTGCATTTTAAATATATATATCAACTAATCCTTACCTACCAATAAGACAGAGGTAGTTCTCACAACAATCATTTTTCATCTTCTTCCTAATTCTTCTGGTTAGTCTCATTAATTAATTATATATATGTTTTTTTTTTTTTGTGGCTAATGGGTTAATTAGTTGAGGTACGCTTTGTTACCAGGTTGATCGACAATGGAGGAAGGTGCAAATGGGATTATTTTGGAACAATCGGCTTTAACTTTTGGCCCGATAGGCAAGAGATCAGACAAAGATATGTCACCATCGTCCAGTGAATTGACTGTGACAAGCCCCGTTGATATGAACTTCACTTTGAAGATGGAGGCTCTTCCTCCTAGCGAGAGGCCTGAATTTGATCGTGAGATAGACGATATGAATGAGAAAAGGTACATGTAGTATATGTTGAATAATAAATTGAATCGATAGATTGATTGATTGTTCTCTAACACTTCTTCTCATGAGTAAATTAACAAGACCAAAAGCATGAATCAATTATAGGCCTAATCAGTCTTGTATGAAATTAATTTTTAATACAATAGACATACATGATTCAAATGTAAAGATTTTAAAACAAACTAGAATTGAATTTAAAATATGTTCATATTAAATAATTAAGATTAGATCTGTAAACAAAAATATCCTTAAATTTATATTAGAAAAAATCTGTATGTCATGCGTTAGATCTTTCAAATCCATATATTAATACTTTAGAGTTTTCATACACTCTCTTTTTGGATGAGAGGATGACAGAATAAAAAAATCTTAACATATGATTTTGGGACCATAACCGTCTGTTTATATCCTTAAATTTTTGTTATTTTAATTTTATTTATACAAAATTAAAAATTACATTTTTGATCTCTACATATAAAATAAAAATTTACACTTTTAAGGTCAAAATAATTTTAACCGTACTAGACACTTAAATAGACATAACTAAATTTGATAGTCTTTTATATATAATAAACTAATATATAAATCCACACGGTTGATTAAAATCCAACATCAAATACTGTATTTGTATTTGTAGTTCTAATTTTGTGTTAAATAATATATTGAATTAATTAATCTAAAATCTTTAAGGTCATTTTATGCTATAACACGTCCTCCAGGCATAGAGATGGACACCCATTAATCTGTCCTGACTCACCCCAGATGGAGCAAAAAAAAGCCTATATATAATTTATTAGGTACGAGGCATATATAGATAGAAAAGCATAAACGCCGAACGAATACAGAGGGAATTGATATATCTTTACTCCTCTTTTATGAATAAATATTTAATTTATAATATTATGTTATATTTTATTATTTAGTATATTATGTTTGAATAGTATTTTAAATTATATTTTATTTTGATTAATACTTGGAGATTTTTTAATTAAGTTTTCGTTATTTATTTAAAAATTTTAAACTTAAAAAGGGGATAAATGGGTGGGTAGGAAGTGTTATCCATGGACATGTATATGATTTTCTGTCTGCTTTTGGGGTATAACTTTATATATTTTTTTACTAGTAAAGTAAAGTGGGTATAAAAAATCAACATACTCATCTCGTACCTATATCTACCCGTACATGTGCCTCATTATGTTGAAAGTATGGATCAAACCGACCTTGGGTGAAGTTAATTTTTAATGAAAATGATGCTACGAGGATTATATTAAACAGATTATCTAAAAAAATTAATAAGATTTTGGTAGATTTGTACATGATTCACGTTTTTAACTTAATGAATTTATGTACGAGAGACACATTAGAATATAAATAATTGATTGATGTTATTTCTTATCAGTTTAAGTTTTTGAGATAATTAATTTACTTTATTATTTAAAAATATATAAAATTTTTTATTTATAGATATTCTCCGTACATATGTTGTTATAAGTAAAAAATTATAAAATATCCTGAATGATTTGTTTTAATGTTTGTTAGAAAATTATGAAAGAAAAAATAAGAGTGAGTTACTCATATTTATGAATTTTTAGTTGATTTATATTTTAAATTACCTTATAATTAATCATCTTAATTATTATTTTA